GAGAGTAGAGTGCTTTCCCGGCGTTATGCAGCGTCGAACTATCGAAGAGGGTCACAGAGATCATCAATCAGCGTAGCGTAGAGTAGTACAAGGTAGCAAGGTAGGAGACGGCGAACTAAAGATAATAATGCCTGTGCTTTTACCTGCCAGCAACACGATGTGATTAAGAAGCACACCACATCGGAGGTTTCTGCAAGTTTGCAACACGTGATGCTCTTAGTATACACGACCCCCGCACAGCACACGGGCCTCCCGCATTTCACGTCCATCATTTCACGACCCGCCCAACGACTAAGGTATTACGCATTATTGCACAGTCAAAGCAGAAACGCTACCAAGATGTCCTGACGTACACTAATAAAATCCTTCCACCACCGCCATTTTATAAACAAGTCGAACACGTTTCTTGCATTATTTTCAAAATCGTTGGAATGGAACGCAAAAGTGAAACGCAAAAGTGATTGGAACGCAAAATGTGAAATGGAACGTTAATGAACATTCAAAGTATTTCATCCCATTATCTTTATTGTAAGCAATGATCGTAGACCTGCCTTACTGGTGAATATTTGGCTGTCGCCTTTTTCTTGCTTTTTATCACGTCTAACTTGCATTGAGTTATAAGTAAACCTTGAAGATATCAGAAGAAAGTTCTCGAGCAGAAGGAACTTTATTTGTCCAACGTTTACTGCAAGTGGAGCCTGGAGACAGGCTGCCAGGCTTGTACCATGGTATAAATCGACCTTGAATATAGCAGAAGAGAGTACTCCAGCAGAATGAACTTTATTTATCCAATGGTTACTGCAAGTGGATCCCGGAGTGCCAGGCTTGTCCCATGTTATAAATCGACCTTGAAGATAGCAGAAAGGGTTGATGATGATTGATATGTGGGGTTTAACGTCCGCAGAAAAGAGTACTCGAGCAGAATGAACTGTCTTTTTCCTACGTGTACTGCATATGGAGCCTGGAGGCTGGCTGCCAGGGTTGTCCCATGGTATAAATTGACCTTGAAGATAGCAGAAGAGAGTACGCGAGCAAAATGAACCTTATTTGTGCAACGGTTACTGCAAGTGGAGCCCGGGGACAGGCTCCCAGGCTTTTCCCATGTTATAAACCGACCTTGAATATAGCAGAAGAGAGTACTCCAGCAGAATGAACTTCATTTATCCAATGGTTACTGCAAGTGGATCCCGGAGTGCCAGGCTTGTCCTATGTTATAAATCAACCTTGAAGATAGCACAAGAGAGTACTCGAGCAGAATGAACTTTATTTGCCCTACGGATACTGCAAGTAGAGGCTGCAGACTGGCTGCCAGGGGCCCACCACTCAAGAAGCACCTTCGGAGGTCCTAAATATCGAATTGCTGCATATCATATGTTCATATCTGTCGATGCTCCTGTCCTGTACTCTGCGTAAACTTACGCATACCCCGCAAGTTCAAAGTCGTGTTCACAATCTTTTCCTGGTAGCGCGCAATAATACCTCTTGCCTCTCGTGGCTAGGCCGTTGAGCCTATACGGTGACGACGATCGTTCCATACTCTTTCGCGCAGCACACATCGCGTCCTTTGTTGTCCGGGCGTCCGTTATCACCTTATCGCATTCCCGCAGCTCGCGATAAATGCGAGGGGCCATGCCCTCGAAGTGAAGCAATTACCAACCTGGTGGAGGTCTATCCTTTCTTGCGAGGCGAGCTTCCTTATCGCCCAAAGCATGCGGTGACGCTGGGACCGACGTGCGAGCGGAATGATTTTATGCCACCTTTCCTGGCACTCGTTCGCAGGCCACGTCCTCCCGTGTGTCCCCGAGGGCATTCGCGTGCCCCTCGATCATGTGGGCAGGTTTTCACTCCACGACGTCCCTGAAGAAGGCCTACAGCTATTCAGTACTTTTTAAAAAGTCTAACCTAACCTAACCGAGAATGAAAATACCGAAGGTCCTTGTTTTTTTTTGCATCCTATTGCTTCGTGTCACCTTCTAGTCGTGCTTCTTCACCCTTTGTTTAAATATGAGTCATATAGAATTCATCGACTAGAGAGAGGGAAAAAAAAGGTTAAGTGAAATGCAACGAGGTCAAGCAGAAAAAAAGAATTTCCACTCTGCTACACTGCACCAGAAAAGAGGTATGGGGTGCAGAACAGTAAGGAAGAAAAAAATGAGAAGGTTTCAAATAGATATTTTTAAAACGAACAACACTCAAGCATAGGAGTGTCATAGTCGGTTTGCAAGTAGTAGCGTTTAGTAGTTGTTAACCTAACCTTACCTAGCCTAACCACCAGAGACGCTGGCTGCATCCACGCTTACGCACGTTCGAGCCAAGATCGGCGATGACGCGTGTGTTGTTGTCTTGGCGTGCAACATGTTTGCTCCCTTGTCGAGGCGTGTAGAACCTTTCGTGTTCCTTGTCTAAACCGAGACATACACAAAGTTGGATTCCACAAACATTGTCTCATCATTTCCCAAAGCAAGGGGCGCCGAGCTACCACTCGACAAATGTGGTTACACTGCTTTCAACTACGCTATTTTTTTTTCGCATCTCCTTGTATCACTGTGTCTCGGTCGGTAATTGCGACATGAGCACCTATCGAACCTACCGCGACCTTAAAGCTCGGGCGGCCTGCAAAGGAGGTCCAAGAGATGATTCAAGACTATGCTTCAGAAAGGAACCGATATACATCTCGGAGCCCTAGTGGTTTCCAAGACCTCTGTGTTCAGCTCGCTTTTATTATTACTACTTATCAGCTATGGCATTAACCATAACTCCTTCGCACTGACTGTCCAGGTATCTTTCGTCCTATGTTATAAATCAACCTTGAAGATAGCACAAGAGAGTACTCGAGCAGAATGAACTTTATTTGCCCTACGGATACTGCAAGTAGAGGCTGCAGATTGGCTGCCAGGGGCCCACCACTCAAGAAGCACCTTCGGAGGTCCTAAATATCGAGTTGCTGCATATCGTATGTTCATATCTGTCGATGCTCCTGTCCTGTACTCTGCGTAAACTTACGCATACCCCGCAAGTTCAAAGTCGTGTTCACAATCTTTTCCTGGTAGCGCGCAATAATACCTCTTGCCTCTCGTGGCTAGGCCGTTGAGCCTATACGGTGACGACGATCGTTCCATACTCTTTCGCGCAGCACACATCGCGTCCTTTGTTGTCCGGGCGTCCGTTATCACCTTATCGCATTCCCGCAGCTCGCGATAAATGCGAGGGGCCATGCCCTCGAAGTGAAGCAATTACCAACCTGGTGGAGGTCTATCCTTTCTTGCGAGGCGAGCTTCCTTATCGCCCAAAGCATGCGGTGACGCTGGGACCGACGTGCGAGCGGAATGATTTTATGCCACCTTTCCTGGCACTCGTTCGCAGGCCACGTCCTCCCGTGTGTCCCCGAGGGCATTCGCGTGCCCCTCGATCATGTGGGCAGGTTTTCACTCCACGACGTCCCTGAAGAAGGCCTACAGCTATTCAGTACTTTTAAAAAGTCTAACCTAACCTAACCGAGAATTAAAATACACTAGGTCCTTCTTTTTTTTTTGCATCCTATTGCTTCGTGTCACCTTCTAGTCGTGCTTCTTCACCCTTTGTTTAAATATGAGTCATATAGAATTCATCGACTAGAGAGAGGGAAAAAAAAGGTTAAGTGAAATGCAACGAGGTCAAGCAGAAAAAAAGAATTTCCACTCTGCTACACTGCACCAGAAAAGAGGTATGGGGGTGCAGAACAGTAAGGAAGAAAAAATGAGAAAGGTTTCAAAAGAATATTTTTAAACGAACACACTCAAGCATAGGAGTGTCATAGTCGTTTGCAAGTAGTAGCGTTTAGTAGTTGTTAACCTAACCTTACCTAGCCTAACCACCAGAGACGCTGGCTGCATCCACGCTTACGCACGTTCGAGCCAAGATCGGCGATGACGCGTGTGTCGAGGCGTGTAGACCTTTCGTGTTCCTTGTCTAAACCGAGACATACAACAAAGTTGGATTTCCACAAACCATTGGTCTCATCATTTCCCAAAGCAAGGGGCGCCGAGCTACCACTCGACAAATGTGGTTACACTGCTTTCAACTACGCTATTTTTTTTTCGCATCTCCCTTGTATCACTGTGTCTCGGTCTGTAATTGCGACATGAGCACATATCGAACCTACGCGACCTTAAAGCTCGGGAGGCCTGCAAAGGAGGTCCAAGAGATGATTCAAGACTATGCTTCAGAAAGGAACCGATATACATCTCGGAGCCCTAGTGGTTTCCAAGACCTCTGTGTTCAGCTCGCATTTTATTATTACTACTTATCAGCTATGGCATTAACCATAACTCCTTCGCACTGACTGTCCAGGTATCTTTTCGTCCTATCTTCGTCTAAATTTGTTGTGCGTCAGACTTGACCACATAGCGACATTTCAGAAACCAGAAATCGGCCTGGTGTCGGAGTAAATCGTATAGCTTAGCCGAAGCTGCCCGCACTCTTTCTCGTTCTCGTGCTGTTTACACTAAGCGAGCTCTGATCAAATTGTGCACGAAATTTTCGCAGGAACTTTCATCACATGACCACACATCACTCACATACCTACACGCAAAACCTTTCCCCTTTCTCTTTTTCACAGGGTAGCCAGCCAGCCTGAGAACATGGCTAATCTCTCTGTTTTTCCTTTTTTTCTGCTCCTCCTCCCTCTTTCCCTTTTCTGCCAGTATAGAGTAGCCAACCGGACTGATGCCTGGTTAAGCACCTTGCCTTGTCCCTTCAATATTTCTTCAGCGTTCCTTCGAAGTGCAGGCTTTTCGATAACATACTGTTGGTGTGTTTTAACCGTTCTAATGCTATTTTACCTCTTTTTGCGAGTGTTCATGCTGGAATCGTTTGGTGGCATACTTCATTTACCCTAATTTACGCTAATTGAGAAAGCGCAATTGAGAGATCCATCATACCGGCTAGATCCTTAGTTAACACAATAATATTTCCATAACCTTTTTTGTCGTTTCTATAGCATCTCGCCTTTTTTACTGCAGGTCCGCTTACAGACCCAAGATGGTTTATCTCATAGGTACAAAGGGAGCATCGACTGCTTCAGGAGCATTATAAAAACAGAAAAGGTGAGTGTTTTCTTCCTTACTGAAATACCTTGAGTTTTATTTACTTTTTCATGTTTCCCTTTCCATGTGTGAAGTTCAAGGAGCAAGAACAGGGGTATAAATAATATTGCGGATTTCATTGTAGCATTCTAAACTTGTAACGTGTTATATCTTCTCATTTATTTTTAAATTGTTATAAAAGTTGTTTGTTTTCCTCGGAGCTGAAATATTTCAGCAGCTATCTTTTATAAAATAGCGTTGTACACAAATGGGGTGTATCATTCAAGTATACCAGTGTGATTAATAGCGACATCATGTTTTTCACCATGTACTTAATTTCACATGCTTTATACTATTGCTATTTTCTTATAAGACTCCCTAGTTAAGTCGCGGGGAGAGCTTTCATTCTGGTCGCAAAAGATATGAGCTAGTCGACGTCGTGCGTATTCGTCTTTATTACATAGTGATACCTTTATAATGAGGCAAGGGTGTCTTGCTTTGATAGAATTAATGAAATAGATAAATTTTACGATAACTAAATGCTTACACAGTGATATGCAAGTGTTGGAGATAGTTTTCTTGCACTATTCAGGCCAGCAATCCTAACAGATAACGTATCCTCTATAGGTTTCTTGAAACCCCACCAATGTAGCAGCTCTTTTATCCCGAGGCCATGAGGCACAGACACGCACACATATTTTCCAAACACTCTCAGAACGAGTACAACTTTATTTTCAATGGACGTGCTCGAGTGTGTGTGTGTGTGTGTGTGTGTGTGTGTGTGTGTGTGTGTGTGTGTGTGTGTGTGTGTTTGTGTGTGTGTGTGTGTGTGTGCGAGTGTGTGTGCGAGTGTGTGTGTGTGCGTGTGTGTGTGTGCGTGTGTGTGTGCGTGTGTGCGTGTGTGCGAGTGCGTGTGTGTGTGTGTGTGTGTGTGTGTGTGCAAGTGTGTGTGTGTGTGTGTGTGTGTGTGTGTGTGTGTGTGGTTGTGTGTGTGTGTGTGTGTGTGTGTCGTTCCCACATGTATAAATAATTCTAAAAGGACAACGGGGGTAGCCCGCACCAGAAGGTGGTATAGCGGGCTCAAGCCACTTTACCATGAATGTCTGTGTGTATCCAAACTATTGTGTTTGTCGATTCGATGGAAGTCCAGTAGACATCCCTATATACAAAGGCAAGGACAAGTGTTCGCCTTCCTATCGAAAGGTTTCGAGCTGCTCCCTTCTCTTGTGGCCCCGCCGCGGTAGTCTATTGGCTGTACTCGGCTGGTGACCCGCAGGCCCCGGGATCAAATCCCGGCTGCGGCGGCTGCATTTTCGATGAAGGAGAAAATGCTGTAGGCCCGTGTGCTCAGATTTGTGTGCATGTTAAACAACCCCAGGTCGTCGAAATTTCCGGAGCCCTCCACTACGGCGTCTCCCGTAATCATATGGTGGTTTTGAGACGTTAAACCCCCATATCAATCAATCAATCAATCAGTGAATTGATTCCTCCTCTTGTCAGCGCACTGTGCCAATTTCAACAAAACTGATGTTGACGCTCATATATTTCCTTTAGTTTTTACATCATTCACACTGGCATCAGCAAGCATATCAAGCACAGGTGTGACGCCTGATATTGTGTCGGATATATGGAAAACTAGGTTGTTCCACGTAACGCTTTGGTGCCATACTGTCCAGCCGAAGTATGGCACCGAAGGGCCATACTGTGGCTGTAAGGGTAAGTGGTTATGGCACTGGACTGCTGACCCCAAGGTCACAGGATCAAATCCTGAATGCGGCGGCTTCAATTTCGCTGGAGGCCAAAATGTTTGAGGCCCGTGTACATAAAGTTTAGGTGGACGTTACAGGTACCCCAGTGGTCAAAATTTCCGGAGCCCTCCACTAGGGCGTCTCTAATAGTGATATCGTTGTTTCGGGATGTTCAACCCCAATTATTATTAGTTTTATGCTCGAGACGGCGCTACACAAATTATGCTGTGTCCCAGTTGAATTTGCGGTAAGACATCGGATCTAGATGCGTTACGACAGACTCAGTTAATTCCTTTAGACAGACATTTATCGAAGTTACCGATCAGAGCCCTGTTGTGTATCTGTCTTACCCATGAACTCTGTATTCATCAAGGATTCTTGTGTGAGTGTAGAAGAATCACAGCTAGGGCAAATCATGTTTCCATAGATCTTCCGAACAGCCCATATGCAAGAGAAGGCATAGGCGCGTGCAAGAGAAATGAGGATGAAGGAGCCTGGGGGCATAGTCACTGGTTGCCCACTATTCCCCTAATTCCCTATGATGGGGAAGGGGGCAAACTCTGCCCGACACTTTTACTCTGTCGGACCTGTCCTGTTATTTTTTATATTGTACGTATAAAGCCACGCTGATTTCGGAAATTGTGGCGGCCGAAATAACGGTTCCCGTCTTTACTGCTGGAAAACCAATGACCAGGGGCAGCCCATAACGGGAAGCAAATCATTGCTTTGTTTTATTCATTTTTTTTTTGTTATTACGAAGCATGTTGTCTTTCGGACTCGACCAGGGGGTTGAGGATGGGATACTATGGTAGCGCTAGAATGAGGATAACTGTGACAGGATACCAAATCAATGCACAGGAGCTAAGTGCAATCATGCTCTAAAGGGCTGCAGCACTTTCTTTAACTTAAATGCGATGTGTGTGTTCTGCAAAAAAACGATCGGCTGCTACTTCTAAACGCCAAGTCAGCCGTCACGGTGGCAGTTATCGTTCGGGGAAGCAAAATGTCCCTGATAACAAAGACGGATAACCGGAGGCCACCCACTTTCCCCGCATTGATGGCCCTGTTGTCACCAGATCGCGTTGTCTGTCAACAAACACAGCCATCAATGTAGGCCAGCAAAACACTGTTACGGACAAACTTTGTTGTCTGAAGATATGTTGGACTGCGTCATCCGAAAGCCTTCAACGTTTTATGGCCAGAGCCTTTCGGAGAATGCGATGTACAGAGCAATGACCACCGTACCTCGAAGTTGCATTTACTGAAGAGACTCGGCCACAAACTAAAGAGGGGGCATTAAATTTGTTTTAGTGTATATACGTAGAAGAGGATGACGATGGAGGTGTTTCGCAGACTCCTGGTAGCGGGACAGGAGGCACGAAAAAGAAAGACGAAGAAGGCCTTTGCTCAAAAAATGCAGAATTTGTTGTGGAATCCGCAAAGAGCACAACCCATAGTCCGTGGTGGACTCGGACTGTGCCCGCGATTTCCGACGAAGAAAGGCAACTTGGAAAAAACTTATGTATAACCAGTGCCCCCAAAACTGGTCTGATTACAAGCATCACGCTGCAAGTTTTAAAAGCACAGTCTCTTTAGCTAAAGAACAATATGATAGAAAACATTATGATCACCTTTCAAAGGCTTGTAACAAAAAGGCGCTGTTTAGGTTCATGAGATCACGTAAAATGATGCCATCTCCAAGTAATATAGGGTTTGAGACTATGTCCTTGTAAGAAACAAAGAAATTCTTAGAAGCCATGGCTAAAGGCCTGGAGTGTAGATTTAGATCAACTAAGCCTTACGATCCACAAAAACCAGCGTTAACGATTGAAGTTACTGAAGTTGCAGAGGAAGAGTCAGCACAAGTGATACAAGGTTTGCCTTCGTCAGCTCCTGGTCCGGATGGAATCACAACTGCTATGATACAAATATTATTCAAAATATCACCATGTGAACTACTAAACTACTGTAAATTATTTGTTAAAGTATGCCTGGATTCCGTATGAGTGGAAATTAGCTAAAATAGTGCCGATACAAAAAAGACAAGGATTCGAATATGTCATAGAAAACATTCGACCCATTTCTCTTACATCTAGCATGTTGAAGCTCATCGAAAGAGTGCTCAATAAACGAATTCTAATATGGATGGAGAAAAATTCGATATTAAATCCAAATCAAATTGGCTTCAGAACAGATTGTTCAATCTGGTGTGCACACGCAGATTTAGAAAGCCGCATTCAGCTTGCTCGCAAAATAAGACAACATGCGGCACTAGTGACATTGGATATAGCTAAGGCATACGATAGTGTAGAACATTCAGTTTTATTAGACATATTAGAGAGCCACAATCTCCCAAAATATATATTGGCGTGGGTGAGGGAATTTTTGAGAAGAAGAGAGTTCCATTGCTTTAAGGATGGTTGCGCATCGTCAAAGTGCAAACAAACACGTGGTGTCCCCCAAGGCGCTGTATTATCGCCAGTTCTATTTAACATCTTAATGAGCACTATACGCATTTCCAGGACGTGAAGGTGTTTGCATATGCTGATGATATTGCATTTTTCACGGCACATAGTGACATATATTCTTTATATCAAAATCTACGAGATATGTCAATATGCTGGAGAGATGGCTAGATGCAGTCTGCATGTCCTTAAATGTAAATAAGAGTGCACTATTGATATTCCCGATCAGCTTGCTCTCTGTAGTATACAAGCTATATACAAAGGTAATTGCTAACAGAGTAAAGAAAACATTACAATTCAATCAACCAAAAGAACAAGCAGGATTTAGAACAGGCTACTCAACAATTGACCACATTCATACTATCAATCAGGTAATAGAGAAATGCTCAGAGTATAACCAACCACTATACATAGCCTTCATAGATTACGAGAAGTCGTTTGATTCAGTAGAAATATCAGCCGTCATGCAGACACTGCGGAATCAGGGCGTAGATGAAGTATATGTAAACATTCTGGAAGAAATCTACAGGGGATCAACTGCTACCATAGTGCTTCATAAAGAAAGCAACAGAATACCAATCAAGAAGGGTGTAAGGCAGGGGGACACAATCTCCCCAATGCTATTTACCGCGTGCTTACAGGAGGTTTTCAGAAGCCTAGAATGGGAACAGTTAGGAATAAGAGTTAATGGAGAATACCTTAGTAACTTGCGCTTCGCCGATGACATTGCATAGCTGAGTAACTCAGGGGACGAATTGCAACTCATGATTACGGAGTTAGACAAGGAGAGCAGAAAGGTGGGTCTTAA